ACACACTGACGCACACAGACACACAGACACAGGGGCATACTCAGGCACACAGACACACACAGACACACAGACACTCAGGCACACACAGACACACACAGACACACTGAGGCACACACACAGACACAGGGGCATACTCAGGCACACACAGAAACACAGACACTTGGGTACACACAGACACACAGACACTCAGGCACACACAGACACACACAGACACACACAGACACACAGACACTCAGGCACATACAGACACACGCAGACACACAAACACTCAGGCACACACTGACGCACACAGACACACAGACACAGGGGCATACTCAGGCACACAGACACACACAGACACACAGACACTCAGGTACACACAGACACACAGACACAGGGGCATACTCAGGCACACACAGACACACAGACACAGGGGCATACTCAGGCACACACAGACACACAGACACACAGACACTTAGGTACACATGGACACATAGACACACACACACTCAGGCACACACAGACACACGCAGATACACAGACACACACAGACACACAGACACACACAGATACACAGACACACACAGATACACAAACACTCAGGCACACACAGACACACACAGGTACGCATAAGCACAGGCACAAGTCTGCCTGGACAACACACCAACAAGGGCCATCGGCCCGAGTGACCCACGGACAGAGGAACAGAGGCTGCCCACTAACCAGAGTCTGAACCTGCCGCGAGACCCACTGTGGTCTACACGCATGACAGACACACGTTCGCACCAGGGCCGCCCACTGGGAGGCCCCTCCCACCCCCTGCTGGTGGAGCCCACCCCCTCCCTCCCCTGGCTGGAGCCTCGGAGAAGCAGCCCCTGCGCAAAGGTGGTCCAGAGCGCCAGCAGGGGCCCAGGAGACGCACCCACCCTCTGAAGCTCACCTCCAGGTCAGTGGGGCTTGACAGGCACCCGGGGGGGCCGTGTGCAGCCTTGATTCTGCCGGGTGGGACGGGTAGAGGGTCCAACCCTCCCTCTGGGGGGTCCACAGGCGTCCTCTGCGGCCCTGAAGCCCCGCACCTACCCCCTGGCTTCTGGCTGCTGGAGTGGGGGGTGGAAGAGAGCCCCTGCCCCCCCCCTTGACCACGGCGGGGTGGCAAGAGCCTCTTCGGAAAGCGCGACGCCCCTCCAGGCCCTCTCCTGTCACCGCACGGCCCTGAGGCTCCCTGCCCCCCCCCCAGCCGCTGTCCGGCGAAGGATGCAGGCTTCTGGGCTGGAGGTCGCAGGCCGGACAAGTTCCAGCCCCTCCTGGGACAACGGCACTCGCCTCAACAGCTCCTTCCCGGGGCCGCTGCCGGCTGCCTACGTGCTGCTGCCCGCCGTGTACGCCCTCATCTGTGCCGTGGGCTTGGCCGGCAATGCCGCCGTCATCTGCGTGGTCCTGGGGGTGCCCAAGATGCAGACGGTAACCAACGTCTTCATCTTGAACCTGGCCGTCGCCGACAGCCTCTTCGCGCTGGTGCTGCCCGCGAACATCGCCGAGCTCCTGCTGCAGCGCTGGCCCTTCGGGGAGCTGCTCTGCAAAGTGGTCCTGGCCGTGGACCACTGCAACCTCTTCTCCAGCACCTACTTCCTGGCCGCCATGAGTGTGGACCGCTACCTGGTGGTGCTGGCCACCGTGCGTTCCCACCGCATGCCCTGGCGCACGCTGCGGGCGGCCCGGCTTGCCAGCCTGGGCATCTGGCTGGGCGTCACGGCCATGGTGCTGCCCTACTTCACCTTTGCCGGGGTCTACAGCAACGAGCTGCAGGTCAGGAGCTGCGGGCTGAGCTTCCCGCGGCCCGAGCAGGCCTGGCTCAGGGCCAGCCGCCTCTACACGCTGCTCCTGGGCTTTGCGCTGCCCATGGGCACGCTCTGCGCCCTCTACGCCGACCTCCTGCGACGCCTGCGGGCCCTGCGCCTCCACGCAGGCGCCAGGGCCCTGGGCAAGGCCAGGAGGAGGGTGACCCTCCTGGTCCTGGCCGTGCTGGCCGGCGGCCTCCTCTGCTGGACGCCCTTCCACCTGGCGTCTGTGCTGGCTCTGGTCACAGACCTGCCGCCGACGCCACTCGTGGTGGGTGTCTCCTACGCCGTCACCAGCCTCAGCTACGCCAGCTCCTGCCTCAACCCTTTCCTCTACGCCTTCCTGGACAGCAGCTTCCGCCAGCACTTCCGGGCCGCCCTCCGGTGCCAGCGGGTCTGAGGGTCCTCCGGCCGAGGCCCCGGGTCCGAGCTCCGTCCCTCTCAGAGACCTGCCCCAGCTCTAGGCTCCTATTCCAACCCCAGGGAGAGGTCACAGGTCGCGCGGGGCCGGACACCTGGCCTGGACATGCCCCTTGCGGGGGGCCTGGTCCGGGGGCCTGGCCCCAGGCCACTGTGTGCGAGAGGCAGATGGCTCAGAAGACGCTGGACAGATGGACGGTGCCCAGCAGCGACCCCCCCAGCAGCCCTGAGGGTGGCCTTGGCGGCAAATCAGGCTGGACTGGGCCAGACTGGGCTGAGGGGACACTGGAAAGGGCTGCCGACGGGCTGCCAGGGGCACCGGGGGAGGACCCCGTGCGCTCAGCTGGGCTGGGGGGGACACGAGCCCATCCCCCACACCCATCCGCACACTCCCTGCTGTGTGGCTCTCCTCACCCCGGGCCATGGGGACAGTCCTGCGGGGCTCCAAGTGGGCGCAAGGGGCTGCTGCCCAGAGACTGACCCTCCAGGCGAGGGAGACAGGACCATGCCCGCTGTCCTACTGCCTCACGCTGCCTCTGCCCCAGGGATGCCCCGTTCTGCCGATCCATGGTTTGAGTCTGGGGACCGCTCTGACCCTGCCACTTCCCTCCTGCACCAGGGGGCAGACTTTCCCTTTCTCTGAGAAAGGACCCCCCCACCTACGGGGGAGGGAGGGGGGGCGCGAGAGGAGAGGAGCAGCAGCAGGCGGGGACAGCCAGGCTCTTCCTCGCAGCAGGGTGTGAAACACACTCAGGACTGTACAGGCTGTCCCTGCCGTGTCCTCGGCACCTCACACCTCGGGCAGTGTGTGAACACCTGCTCCTGCCTGAGAGGGAGGGAAGGAGGAAGGAGAGGGGAGGGGGACAAAGGGGAAGGGAGGACGGGGAGGAGGGCATAAGAGAGGAGCAAGAACCAGCACTGGAGGAGTCAGCCAGGGGAGGGGTCTGGGAGGAGGAAGCAAGAGCAGCTCAGGAAGGCTGGTGGGCGCCCACCCTTGCTCCCAGAGGCCCACCTCACCCAGCAGCCAGGGCCACAGCTGCCAAGATGGGGGCAGAGTGCAGACCCTCCCCCGATGCCTCCAAGGAAGGCCGCTGCCCCTTTAGCACGGGTGAGAAAACCAAGGCACAGAGAAGCCCGGCTCTCGCGGGCTAGACCAGAGGCCTGCAGGGTCCGGCTGAAACAGGCTTGGACGTGGGCTGGAGACTCAGGGGAGAGTGGGGTGAGCAGGGAACGGAGGGGAGGGCAGAGGGACAGAAGGACGGTGTGAAGGAGGAAGAAGGGATGGGGGGCTGGAGACAGGGACGTGGCGGGGAGGGGACAGCAGCCCGGACATCAACGGGCCTCAGGACGTGGGTGCCCCGTGGAGACCACACCAGACAGAGGGTTCCCGGAGCCCACGGCCACCGTGGGCCTCCCTCACCGCTGCAAGCTAGAGCCCAGCACGATTAAACCTGCTGATGCCCTGCGCCTGTGCCTGCGCCTGCGTTCACGTCACGCCATGTGCCACTCTGAAGCCACCCTGCACCAGCACTGTCTGAGACTCGCCTTGGGGCACTGGCGCTCAGGCGACAGAGGAGGCTGCTGCTGATTCTCCATCCGTCAGGGAAGAAGAAATCAGCCAGGATAAAAAGGGTGAAGAAAACCGGGGCCCTGTGTGTTGGTGTCCCCAGCTGCATGGGGGGGGGGGGAGTATTCTTGCTTGTTCAAAGGAGCTTTCTTTGCTGAAGAAAACCAGGAGCCCACCGCTGTGCACAGGAGTGGGCTCCCCTTTCCCAAGTCAGTTCTAGAACTCCGGACCTTCACCAGGGCCGGAGCAGGTGGAGGACCCGGCAGCTGACACCCACAGTCGGGTCTCCGAGACGCCCCACCTGCTGTCAGTTGGAGCCAAGTCAGAGCAGCTTTATTGGGCCGCATGCAGGAATCCCACCGCACATGCAGGAACAAGGGGGCTGGCACTGGCAGCCGTCCTCCGGAACTGCCGCAGACACACAGGGCCCACAGCTGTGGAGGCCCTGAGGCAGGAGACTGTGGCCCTGGGTGTCCACAGCAAGGAGTGTCCACAGTTCCTGGGTGTCCACAGTCCTTGAGTGTCCAAAGCCCAGGATGGACACCTGATGCAGTGTCCACAGCCCCTGGGTGCCCTTAACCCCATTGGGTGCCCACAGGCCAGGGTTCTCACGGTGCCTGGGTGTCCAGGGGTCCTCGGTGCCCAACAGACCTGAGTGTCCAGTCTGAGTGCCCATGTCCCCTGAGTGCCTATGGCCCCGTCCTTACTGCCTGACTCAGTAAGAGCCGGGCTCCCTCACCCCAGTCTGTTGCACTGTCTGCCTGCATCCAGGCAGCCGGAAGCTTGGGCCTCCCACAGCCTTGGAGTGAAGAGGAGCCGGCCCAAGCGGGCCCACTAGGACACACCCGCCAAGTCCAAGCAGGACAGAGTCCTGCCAGCCACGCGGCCACTGGCCTGCTTGGGAAGAAGAGACTGAGAATGAATCCCAGGTCAGGAGTAGGACCCTCCCTGAAGCCCAGACAGAAGACCTGGCCGGCGCCTGCCCGCAAGGTGGCCTCCCCTGGGGGAGGCAGAAGGCAGGGCAGAGCCAGCTCAGAGTACAGCGCTGCCGGCTGAGGACGTGGGGTGGGAGCGACTCCCACGCAGCTGGCCAGCAGAGCGGTCAGGAGGCTGAGCGCCCACAGGGAGTCCAGCAGCTCAGGGACCAGCGCGGGGGCAAGCCCGGGGTGCTCGCCGGGGAGGCCTTCGTCAGAGGGCAGTGACCTGTGTGAGCTCCGTGTTGGGTGTGGATGGGCTCTGCAGGCTGGCAGGCACCAGGGGCAGGCCCACGCCTAGTCACGCGGGCCGCGGCACTGTCTCGGAAGTCCTGCAGCCAAGGGCCACGTCCTTGGCAACGCTGCGCACACCGCCGGAGCCCGGGGTCTCCCTGCGCAGGGCGGAGGCGCAGCAGAACCTGCGGAAGCAGGCCTTGAAGTTCTCGTCCAGGAAGGCATAGAGGATGGGGTTGAGGCAGCTGTTGACGTAGCCCAGGGCCGTGCAGAAGCACAGGGCGGCCACCGCGGCCTCGCTGTCCGGCTGCACGCCCAGCCCCTGGGCCAGCACGAACACCTGGACGGGCATCCAGCAGCCCACGAACACGGCCACCAGCACCAGCACCAGCCGCGTGATGCGCCTCACGTTCTGGTCCTTCTCCCGGGAGCCCGAGATCAGGCGGACCCCGCGCAGCCGCCGCACCATGAGGGTGTAGCACACCGAGATGATGAGCACAGGGATGACGAAGGAGAAGAGGAAGATGCAGACGGAAAACACGGGGCCCCAGTAGTCCTGCGGGGTCGGGATCTCCACCAGGCACTCGATCTCTGCAGGAGGGGAGCAGGGGTCAGGCAGGAGGCGGGGCGGCAGAGGGTGGGGGGGAAAGGGGGGCGGGACGCTCGGAGCTGGGGAGGAGGGGCCACCTGCTGACCTTCGTCTTCCACCTGTGCTGACCCCATGACAGCCACTGGGATGCCCACGACAGAGGCCAGGGCCCAAATGGCCACGTTGACGGCCTGAGCTTTGGTAGACGTGCGGACATCAAGGGCGCGGATGGGGTGGCAGATGGCCACGTAGCGGTCCACGCTCATGGCGGTCAGCGTGAGGGTGCTGGTGAACATGTTATAGTAGTCGATGGCGATGACCACCTTGCACAGCGCGTTCCCAAATGGCCAGAAGCCCAGGAGGACATCTGCCCCCTGGAAGGGCAGGGTCAGCAGCACCAGCGTGTCTGCCAGGGCCAGGTTGAAGATGTAGATGTTGGTGGCCGTCTTCATCTTGGTGTGTCTGCAGAGGGCAGAGCGACAAAGGCCTCAGCCGGGCGGCCAGCTGCACCTGCCACTCAGGGCCGGGGCCCTCTCCGCTCCCCTTGGGGTGCTGCTCTGAGCCCCTGGTGACAGCAGGCTCATGGGCCAGTGCAGGGCATGAGGCCTGAGCGAAGGCTAAGTGGCCCTCTGGCCCTTGGACGCATGTGTGCGTGCAGCAGTGCCACGCCCACGGCCCAGTCTGCCCGGGACCAACTTGGCACACACCCAGGGGTGAAGGCGTGAAAGGGTAGGGCCACGTGAGGAGGAATCTGTCCTCCTCAAGTATTCCCCACAAGCCCCTCCACAGGACGCTGACCCCACAACCGCCCGAAGCCGCCCCACATTGGGTGGTAAGAGCCTCCCTGGGAGACAGGGAAGGGGTCTGTGGAGTATCTGCCATGTGCATCTGAGACTCAGATAGTACCCCGTACCACTGGGGAAAAAGAAGCAAAGTCCTTCCTCATCTCATCCTCCAGGCCTATGGCCCAGAACCAGGACAAGGAATGCTGGTCAGGTGACCCCAAGAGGCTATGAGGGCCTGGGAAAGCCGAGGTGGTGTCTGACAAGCCCCCACGGCATTAACGGTGGTGAGCGTGAGGCGGAGGCGGTGGTGCCAGGGTGGCTCTGGTGGTGGCTCCCATGAGTGGATGTGAAGGTAGTTCCTGGGGCAGTGGTGGTGTGGGGGAGGGGGAGCAGGGGGGAGAGAGGAGAGGTGGTGCAGGTGGTGACGGCAGTGGCCGTCCCGGGCATGGCCGTGTCCGTGCTAACTTGGCTGCGGTGAAGGACTCCCCTTCTTAGAGAGGAATTAAGTGGCAGCGAAGAGGGTCCGTGCGTAGCTTCTGCACCTCCTGCCCCTGCTCCTAGGTGGGGCCCTGGGCTCAGACCTGCGTTGGAGAAAGGGCTCCCAGGGCCGGGGCCAGACCTGGGACAGTGGGAGGGGCTGGGCCGTCCTGCTGGCCTGAGGGCTCTGGAGAGCTGGAACAGCTACTGCCAGGTGGCGTCGGAGGGTCCGGGCACTGCTCCTTGCTCCGAGCACCCAGCAGCCTGTGTGCTTGTGTGGTGCACGCTCAGATAAGAGGTGGGGGTTTGCACCCGGGCCACCCACACAAGGTCCTGGAGGGAGCCATGTGGACCAGAACCCCACTGTGTAGTGCTCGAGTGTGGCCCTCTGGGCTGGCTCATCCCTCCTTCCTGCAGGGTGTGCCCACCTGTCTTCTCAGCACCGAGGCTTTCCAGATAGGATGGCCACCCAGCGCACGCCGGAAGGGTCCCCGGCAGTCACCACAGAGGCCAGCGAAGACCCCAAGCCTGCTCTTCCTGAAAGACTTGCTTTTTGTGAGAGCAACTTTGTTTTTATTTGTTTCACTAGTGCTGTCATGTTTTATATAGTGGAAGATTGTCTCTACTTTAATGTCACAGCCAGAGCGACACAAGAGACCTGAACTCGGAAGAGACTCGTGCAAGAACTCTGACTTTGGGTGGGATAAAGCGTGCCAGTTCTACATGATCAGTCGCTGTCTCTACGCCCAGGGCAGCTCTGGATGCACAGCAAAGTGGCGAGGAAAGAGGGGGTTCCGTGGAGCGCGTCCCCTGCAGGCTCACCTCCCAGCCCGGGACCCGACCCTTGATGTCCCATGAGTCTCCAGTGACATATCACAGCCCCGTCTATTGCTGCATGCTCTGCCTCCTGTCCGGCCGCCCCTGCCCTGCGCCCACTGCTGCCCCTGCTCTGACCCCCACTCTGACCCCTGCTTTGACCCCCCACTCTGACCTCACTCCAGACCTTGCCCTGAGCCCAGCTCTGACCCCTGCTCTGACCTCACCCCTGACCCCACTCTGACCCCTGCTCTGACCCCCCGCTCTGACCCCAGCTCTGATCCTAGCTCTGACCCCTGCTATGATCCCCACTCTGACCCCAGCTCTGACCCCTGCCCTGCCCCCACTCCTGACCACTCCCCCTCTTGCTCCTGTCCCTGAGTCCTCTCATCGCCTGGTTTCCGTTGAGACCTCCCCCTCCGCCCTCCCCCCCCCAATGCAGCTGAGCCCGACCCCCCTCTCAGCCCAGGCGCCACCTTCCCCTCCTCTCCCAGCCCCCAGAGCCCCTGCAGCCTACCTCCGGCTCAGCCTTCTTCACGGACTGCCCTGCCCGCAGCTCCGGGAGGGACCAAGCCCAGGGGAGCGGGTGGAGCCTGGGAGGGCGCGACCCCTGGCAGGGCCCGGCCTGCGGGGGTGGCGGGCCGTGCCGGAGAGGAGGGCGGCCTACCTGAGGATGACGTACATGACGAGGCAGTTGCCCATCAGCCCCCCCACGCACACGCTGAGGTAGAGCCCCATGATGGTGACCTTGAGGCCCAGGGGCAGGAAGGCCCCGTCCCGGGTGTCGTTGAGAAGCTGGGCCGGGGCCAGCGCGCTGCGGTTGTCGCCCAGGAGGGACAGGTTGGCCTGCAGGCGGCTCCGGTAGAGGGCCTCCCAGAAGGGGGCAGGAGGGAGCGGCTCCATGGGTGCAGCCTCTGCGCCTGGGGACAGAGCACGGGGCACTGAGTCCGGGAGCCCGGGCACGCAGCACACACAGGCACACGTGGACAGGCAAGTGCACGCAGCCGCCTCGGGAAGACACGTGAGCGCAGGGCAGTGCTTCTGCATGCATGTGTGAGCACACATGCATGCATGGCCATGTGCACGCAGCACACCAGCATATGTGTGGACCCGTGCACACGCCGGCACACGTGTGTTCACGGGCACGTTTTCACATGGGTCCACACGTGGGGGCCAGCAGCACCTGGGCCCAGTCAGCACCCAGACCAGCACAGGGACATCCGACCACACGTTTGGGCAGCTACATGCCTGGACACGCACCACCTCCAGACCCATGGTGTCTGCACACACCTGCCCATGCCTGTCCCCAGCACTACGGCAGAGGGAGCCCAGCGCCAGGCCCCCGCAGGCCACCCACACCCAGCCCCAGGGCGGAAGCCTTACCTTGACGACCTCCTCGGGAGCAGACCCCAGCGCCAGCCCCCAGCACCCCAGGCTGAGCTCAGGGACGGCAGCGGCACTGCGCTCCCGCCGCCGCTCAGACACCGCAGACAGACGCAGCCGCAGCCAAGCGGGGGAGGGAGGAGCCGCAGCTCCGAGGGAGGGCGGGGCGTGGAGAGGCAGCCCAGACCAGGGGAGGGGGCAGCCCGCAGGGAGGGGCGTCACGGGCCCAGGCCCAGTCTCCGGGCACACGGACGGGGTGAGGAAGGCAGGCTCAGAGGCGAGGCAGGCTCGAGACAGGCTCCGGAGGGCAGAGGGCGGACCCTTCCTCGCAGACTCAACAAAGACTCAGAGGAGCAGGCAGAGGAGTGCAGGCTGCGGGGGGCATCCGGGAGAGGCAGCAGACACGGCTGCTTCTCCCGGCACACACACCCTGCAAGAACACCAGACTCTGCCTCTGGGCACTGCCCCCAGGCCCGGCGCCAGGGCACTGAGAGAGCTGACAGCACCTCAGCCCAGAGCCTCGGCAAGTCAGAGCCTTAGCACCCAGACCCTGGGCCACCCAGGCCCACTCTCCGCACAGCCTGCGACTCAGAGAAGAGCCGCCAGAGCCAGTGTCGCCTCTGTGCAGGCGAGAGCGTAGAGGCGAAAGCGTCAGCGCCCAGAGCCCAGGGTGAGGGCAGCGCAGGGGAGGAGGCTTGCCTGGCACCACAGAGGGTCCCCAAGTCCCTGAGTGCAGAGCCAGGAGTCAACCCTGAGCACCACTGCATGTGGCCCTCAAACAAAAATAACTGTTCTCACTTATGACTCCATTTTTTGATTTGGGGGTCCCTTCACAGTCAGAGCCCTGCCCCGTGCAGCTCCCTGGAACACCACACGCCACGTGGCGGGCCCCTGAGTCCCGTAATCATGGAGCCATACTTCCTGCACAGATTGTGCCCACATGGCCCAGACCCCGCTCAGAGCAGCTATTGCCAGGATGAGGACCTGGTTGCTAGGATACAGCAGTGTCGCTAGGATACCTGGTGGATCAGGAGATGATGGACCCTCCAGGGTTCCAAACCCAAACTGCCCCCAGGACTTTCCATGACATCATCAATGGATCAACTCAAGGACATGGGGGGAGACTTAGGGTCTCCATGGACACTCAGGGACACAGTGCACAGGTGCACACGCCCGGGCAGACACAAACCACACGGACACGTGTCCACATGCAACGACACAGGCTAGCACATGGCCAGGCAAGCATGGACCACACAGACATGCGTCCACATGTACCTACACACGCTAGCACATGCCCGGGCAAGCACAGACCACACACACACGTGTCCACATGCACCTGCACATGCTAGCACATACCCCGGCAGGTATGACCCACACAGACATGTGTCAGCATGCACCTGCACACGCTAGCACAATCCCAGGCAGGCACAGACCACACAGACATGTGTCCACGTACTCTTCACACACCCTGGGGCCACATGAACATGTATCCACATGCACCTGCACACGCAAGCTCATACCCCAGCAGGTATGACCCACACAGACACGTGTCCGCATGCAGGAATGCATGAACACGGGAGAAACGTGTCAACACTCGCAAAGGCTGAGGACACGCCATCACTGCACACAGCACGCAGCGTTCCCAGTGCAGTCCCCTGACCATGGGGCTTCTTGGCCAGGAACAGGACACGGAGCTCCAGCCGCCTCCCACCACCTGGGCCACCTGACCGTCCCATCCCACCAGCTTGAGCTGCCCTTCCTCCTGCCTCGAGAGTCCCCCAGGCCAGTTCCTCGAGAGAAGGGCAAGCACACGGCTGCCCATGGGCTCAGGGGCTGACCTGGAGGCAGGGCAGCCCTGGCCTCTGCAGGGCTCCCACCGAGCAGCCTGGACACACAAGAAGCAACTCAGCCCGCCTCGGCCCACAGGTGCCACGTGGGGCAGTAGGGGACACGCAGGAGGATGAGCAGAGGTTCAAGCAGGGAAACCCCCGTCGCTGCCGTTAGCCCTGCGATGCAGCCACAAGTCCTGAGCAGAGTCCGGCAGAGCTGTACGAGGAGCCAAGGGTGAAGAGGGTCCCTCCACTCCTCATGCCGAGAGCCCCTCAGCCCACACCCAGGGCGTCTGTGTCCCCACACCCCACACAGGTCGCTTGGCTCTTCACCGAGCACCAGTGAAGCTGTCCCAGGACTCCGCCGCGGGGCTGCGGTGAACGGGTCACAGGTGAACGGGCTCTAATCATTCTGGCTACCGGGACAGAGGAGAGAGGGCAGAGGGGCCAGGCCCTGGCTCTGCACGCGGCACACCCCAGCACCCAGTCTCCCCCGAGCACTGCCAGCACGGACCAAAGACAGAAACAAATCCTGGTTTCGTGGTAAGCAAGAGTGATGAGACCGGTGGCCCCACTGCCACGGCCTTGTTGAGCAGTGGCCCCTGGTGCCCACAGGCCCCTCGTGCCCACAGGCCCCCGTTGCTGCCACCCACGAACTGTTTGAATTCTCCCAACCCCTATTTAGAAGCCTGTCCAGAGCGGTTCCTGGTGATGTCCAGCAGTGCCAGGGCCACCAGGGCTGCACCTGTCGCATTCAGGGGTGACACGGTGCCAGGAACATGTGCACCATCTCGTCAGATCCAATTCTGAAGTTTATTTTAAGGATCTGACCCATTAAGAGGAGGGAGCAGGGAGAAAGGGGCTCATTCGTTGCTGGTAGGGTTGCCAACTGGCCCAGCCTTTTTGGAGAATATGGACATTCCTCGAAAACTAGAAATTGAGGTTCCGTTTGACCCTGCAAGGCCACTCCTGGGAATATACCCTGGGGTCCAAAGACACACAGCAGAATCATCGTCTGCACTCCTGTGTTCATTGCCACGCTACTCACCACAGCCGGACACTGGAAACAGCCTGAGTGCCCAAGGACAGACAAGTGGATAAAGAAACTATGGCACACCCACACAGTGGAATATCAAGCAACTGTTAGGAAAAATGAAGTCATGAGTTTGCCTGTAAATGGAGAGTATCATGTTGGGTGAAATGAGTCCGAAGGAGAGGGACAGATACAGAAGGGCTTCATTTGTTAGTTGTATCACAGTCCTCCCGCTGTTCATCGATTTGCTCGAGCGGGCCCAGTAACGTCTCCATCATAAGACTTGTTGTTACTGTGTTTTGGCATATCGAGTACGTCGTTAGTTGTATATTAAGAAAAAATAGTAGCAGACTAATATCCAAAGCCAGGAAAAATGGGCTAGGAGGACTGGTCAATGGTTGGAATTCACCACAAGTGTGTGTGGGGCGGAGGTTAGGTAAGAAAGAGGAGGGACCAGTATGACAATAATAGTTGGAAATGATCACGCTGGACAGGAACTGAGTGTTGAAAAGTAAAGGGATATACATGATAATCTTATAACCTTTCAGTATCTGTGTTGCAAACCACAGTGCCCAAGAAAGGAGAGAGAGAGAGAGAGAGAGAGAGAGAGAGAGAGAGAGAGAGAGAGAAGAGAGAGAGAGAGAGAAAGAGAGAGAGAAAGAGAGAGAGAGAGAAGAAAAGTACCTTCCAGAGGCAGACGGGGTGCGGGGGTTGATGGGAGGGAACCTGGGGACACTGGTGCTAGGAAATGTTCACTGGTGGAGGGATAAGTGTTGAAATACTGTATGACTGATACCTAATCATGAACAGCTTTGTCAGGGTCTATCTCACGGTGATTCAATTAAAAAAATCTTCACTTAATCACTTAACTTCCCGTTAGTCGTCGATTTGCTCGAGCGGGCGCCAGTAACGTCTCCATTTGTCCCTGTCGCGTGCTAGTGTAGCCCAATGGCATCTGTTCGCTCCGGGAACATGAAGGGCCTCGAACCGATCCTTCATGATCTTGACGAAGAAGTCTGACCATCTGGTAGGTGGGCGGCCACGCGGTCTTTTGACATCCCGTGGAAACCAGTCGGTAACAGCTCTAGTCCAGCGGTCGTCTTTAAATCTCATTACGTGACCAGCCCATCTGATTTTCGACACCTTGGCAAATGAGACAGCGTCCCTGATTCTTGATCGTCGACGGATGTCAGAACTCCGGATTCTTTCTCTCATTTGAGTGAAACGTGATATTCCAAGCATAGCTCTTTCTATTCTTCTCTGGGAGACCTGAATAGCGTTCTCATCCTGTTTGCGTAGGGCCCAGGTCTCTGAGGCATATGTTAATGCAGGAAGAACAGTGGAATCAAAGAGATGTGCCCGGAGCCGGAGGTTCTTCGTCCTCTTAGCTATTTCTTCGATGTTCTTGAAGGCGTTCCAAGCCGTTCTCTTTCTCCTGTGCCAGGTCATTTGTCATGTTGACTTCTCGACCTAGGTACACATAGCTGTGTACCAGTAACTACAACTGGTCTCATTCACCTGACCCTGAAGGCTTCAAAAAAATCTTATTAATAAATAATTTGCCTTGCACGTGGCAAACCTGAGTGTGATTCCCAGCATCCCATATGGTACCCTGAGAACTGCCAGGAGTAATTCCTGAGTGTATGAGCCAGGAAACCCCTGCGCAGCAACGCCGGGTGTGACCTAAAAGCCAAATAAATAAATAAATAAATAAACGATTCCCCTTCTAAAGGAAGAGAGGGAGGGAGGGACGGAGGGAGGAAGGGAGGAAGGGAGGGAGGAAGGAAGGGAGGGAAGGAGGGAGGAAGGAGGGAAGGAGGGAGGGAGGGGAGTGAGAGTGACCACAGGGGTCACCCCCTGCCCTGAACACAGCCTGCTCCAGCTCCATCCCTGACACCACAGAAGTGACTTCAGAGCCAGGAGTAGCCCCAGCACTGCCTGGTGTGGCTCCAAAAGCAGGAAGCAATCAACAGCTCCCAGAAGAGTGCTCTTTTTGTTTCCTGGGTTTGGGCCCAGACCTAGAGGTGCTGAGGCCATGGGCTGGGCAGCAGACCCGGCCAGACACCAGTGGAGCTGTCCCAAGCCCAGGCAGGCTGCCGTTGCCCAGACCAAAGGCTGGCCTTGCCTGAGGCTGCCCCTTTCTCCCTTCAGGACCCTTCGGTGTGGCTCTGGGCGCCTCCCTGAGCGGCTGGACTGCTGAGTGGGCTTACACGAGTGGCAGCATTCCCATCTCAGCATCGCCCTGAACACCCACAGACCTGCAGTGCCAGAGCCGCTTTCTGGGGGCAGAGTAGGCCCCGCCCCTCTTAGGCCGCGCCCGCGGCCTTGGCAGGAGCCAGCAAACCCTCTGGCCCCTCTGGCTGGACCCTGGGCATGGAAAGGCCTCTACCTCAAGCACTTCCCCGAGCGGGAGCAAGGAGCCAGGGCAGAACGGCCCACACTGGGCACTGAGGAGGTACACTCCAGCCAGAGACCAGTGTCACTGGCGCCAAGAGACTGTCTGATCGCAGAACTGTTGGAGCCCCCAAAACTAGCCCCCAGGACCTCTCCACTCAGGACCCCGGCCCTCAGCTCCGAAAAATACGGGTCCCCAGGACGGGCAGAAAGCACACCAGGTGAGAGGTCCCTCAGCCACGGGTGCAGCACCCCTGGACTCTAGCCCTCCAGCTGGGTGGGCTGCCCTGCGGGGGAGGGGAGGACATCAGGCTGCCTAGCAACCAGTCAACAGACCCCAGAGTCCTGGTCGGAGTTGGAAGCCCAGAGGCAGAAGGGCAGAGAGGCAGAGGTAGGGGTCTGGGAGAGCCAGGGAAGGCTTGGAACCCCTCTGGTTACCAGGCAAGGGGGAACGGTGATCACCAACAAAAGCCGAGATGGTGGCTCTCTCTGTTGGTCACATCCAGAGGTGCTCAGGAATCACCCTAGGAGGGACCTGGACCTGGGTTGGCTATGTGCTAGGCCAACCCCTCCCCCATGTCCTGCTCACCCTCCCCCAGTCCACAGGGCCCAGGACCTGGTGTGGGTCTCGGGGTGCTGTGGGTCCCTCAGGAGAAGGAACCCCAATGCCACAGGCCCCCACTGCCCTCTGGGAATTCTCTGTCCTGCTCCCCCCAGCGCGAGACCAGAGGGGGGACAGGGTGGTAACCAGAGAGCCGCCCACAGGCTGGCCAGGACAGTGCCATGGGGAGCAGGGGGCAAGGGAGGTCCATGGAGGGTCTTCGGCACTTTCACAGTAGGTGCAGGAGGAATCGCCTCAGATTCCCAATGGGTCTCCAGGAAAGCAAGGGATGGAGAGATCCCAGTAAGGATCCCAGAGATCCCAGCACCACGTAGGGTCCCCTGAGCCCCGCCAGGAGTAGTCCCTTGACCTCAGAGCCAGAAGTGAGCTCCTGAGCTCCACCAGTTGTAGCCCAAACCCAAAAAAGAGAAAAAGAGAGAAAGGGAGAGACGGAGGGAGGGAAGGGGGAGAATGTGAGGGAGGGAGAGAGGAAAGAAGGGAGGGAGGAACGGGAGGGAGGGAGGGAGGGAGGGAGAGACGAAAGAAGGGAGGGAGGGAGGGAGGGGAGAATGTGAGGGAGGGCGGGAGGCTCTCTGGGAGCAGCGCCGGCGGGCAGGGCGCGGGCAGGGCGCGGGCAGGGCGCGGGCAGCCCAGACCGCACAGCTCGCCCGTCGCCCTCCAGGCTCGATGCAGGCGCGGGCGCCGGCAGGCGGCCGCCGGGGCGCGCGGGAGCGGGAGGCGGGGGGCGCGCCGGGGCCGCCCCGCTGGGCGCTGACCGAGAAGGAGCTGGAGGCCATGAGCCCCGCGCAGCGCCGCCGCCACCTGCTCTTCGGCGACCTGCTGGAGGACGTGTCCGGCGCGGACAGCTCCGTGTTCCCGCGCGACTCCATGGAGCTGGGCTACCGCGTGGCCGACCCGCGCTCCTGGACGCAGCCCCTGGAGCTGCTCGCCCAGCGCCAGGACCGGCTCCTCGGGGTGCTCAAGGCGGCCGAGGCGCGCGGCAGGGTCCGCGCCCTGCGTCTGCGCCACGCGCGCCTGCGGGTGAGGCTGGCCGGGCCGGGCGGGGCGGCGCGGGCCGGGCGGGGGGCGCGCGCTCAGACACGCCCCCCGACCCCAGGCCGAGGAGATCGCGCTGCTCGTCCAGCGGCAGAAGACGGCGCTGGCCGCCATCCGGCTGGAGCTGTTCCTGCCGCCGCGGCTGAAGCCCACGCGTATCCCCGACCCCCTGAACCGGCAGGAGGTGCCCAGGGCCCCGGAAGGGGCGGGGGCGGGGCGGGGCGGGGCGGGGGCGGAGCAGCCCCGCTGACCCACCCCGCTGACCCGCCCCCCTGCCCCGCAGCGGCGGCGCGTGGAGGCCATCCTGCAGGAGCCGCTGGACTGAGCGCCCCGCGCGCCCACATAAACGTCTTTTGCTCCAAGCGCGCCTGGTCTTTCCGCGCGAGGCAGCCAGCCAGGGACCCCCACAAGGGCGCAAAGTGCAGGTGGCGCTGATGTCCGGTGAACTGGCCGTCGAGGGTGGGGACCCCCATGGCCTGCAACCCGCTCCCCGGAAGGAAGGGCGGCGCGAGGGAGGAAACGAGCTGAGGCGGACCCAGGCCGCGGCCCGCTCAGGGACACAGGGCCCATTCCAGCGGTGGGCAGCCTGCATGGGGCCCTGCGGCCCTCAGAACGTCACTGTCCTCCGTGGCCTGCATGCCCACTGTGCCCTGGTCAGCTTTCTGCCCCATGCCCGGTCCGCGTGCGCGCCAGAGGGCTCCCGGCTCTCTGGAGATCTCCCTGCACCCCCCTTTCCCTCCCTCTTACCCAAGGTGACCTGCAGGGGGAACTGAGCCTGGGATCCAGCACTCCCGAGTCCTGCTCAGTGACCACCAGTCCCTGGAGACTCACCTGGAGTCCCCAGTCCCCTCCCCTCCAGCCCCTGTCCCCCAGATTCGGGATGGGGGTGGGTGCCAGGCTCACAGCTCCCAGAGAAGGGGGAGTTGGGGGGACGAGGGCAGGGGGCCAGGCCTGGATGTGCTGGAGCACGTGTTGTCTAACCCACCACTCTCTGCCTTTCCTCGTTGTGGGCATGGAGGTGGCAGGGCAGTCGTGTGCCTGCCTGTCGCAGGGCACCCGAGTCTGGTCTCTGGAACCACAGAGTGAGTGCTGAGGTGCTGCAGGCCTCCCTCAGCAGGTGGGCATGCAGGCCACAGAGGACGGTGGGTTCCCCCTACGCTGAGTGCCCTAAGGGCATGTCCAGTGCGTCCGAGGGACAGGTCAGACACACACATCAGGGCTCTGGAAGCTTGGGGTCACACACGACTGGGTGGGGCTCGGAACTCAGCTGGAGACAGACGCGGCCTGCCGTGTGGCCTTGTCCGGTGCCGAGGAGATCGGGAATAGACCACGAGCCCCAGAGGCAGACGCCTGGACAGTGGCCGCAGAGGGAGCCCCCTGCCCCAGAGGAGTGAGTTGGCTGGTCTCGGCCAGCAGCCCCACACAGCAGTGCGTGAGCGCCAAGGCCACGCGTGCCTCCGGGGTCGGCCGAGGAAGAGTAGCTGCCCGTGCCTTGCGACTGGACAGCCAGGAGCAACAGCGGGTCAGGTGCATTCAGCCCCAACCCCCCGACCCACTGCTGAACGCGGCTGTCTCCCGCCCGGCCGCCGGCTGGTTTTGTCTCGTCCAGGGCTGGGCTGTTTCTCTCCGCCGGCCCCGCTGTCGTCCTTTGGGGACTGGACGGTGAGCGGCTGCGAGCCCTGGTCTTGCCATGCCCACGAGTCCCATCATACACACTTGAGGTGCGAAATGGGAGAGGCTTGGACGGCAGGGACCCCCGGGGTCACTCTCCAGGCCCGGGCGGGCTGGGGCGCGCGGGGGATGTGCGGGAAGGTGAGGCGCTAATCTGGGGGAGCACCACCGCCCCGTCCTCGGGACACCCGAGCCAAGCGACCTGCACCTGCGCCTCACCGTGCCAGGCCCCCGCAGAGCGCCGCAAGCATCGGCGGACGAAGCGGACGCGGGGCCGTGCTCGCCGGCCCGCCCGGGCCAGGGGCGCCGCTCCCCCCGCGGACCGGCCGGGCGGGACGGGTCAGCGCGGGCCCGAGGGGACCGGCCGCGGGGCGGGGAGTAGCGCCGGGCCACGCGCCTGCGCACTCGGCGCCCCTCCCGGCCGCGGGCTCGGGGCGCGCGGCGGTGAGTGCGGGGCCGCCCCCGAGGGCGCGGGCGCGGGGTCCACGTGGGCCCCGGCCGCGGCGGAACTGGCGCCCGGGGGGAGGGGCGCCGCGCTTCCCCTTTTCCGCAGCGAGTGGGGAAGTGATCGCCCCGGGCGCCGGAAGGAGCGGCCCGCGGCGCCGCCCGCAGACTCGGCCGTGCGGGTCCGAGGCCCCGCGCGCCCCCCGCGCCCTGGCCGCGGCGCGCGCGCCCCTGGGCAGCCGGGGCGGGGCTGGGCGCCCCCCCGCCCGCGCTCGGGCCGCCGGTGAGTGGGGCGCCGCGGCGGGGGGCGCGGGGGGCGGCGGGGCCGGCCGGGACCCCGGGACGCGGGCGCGGGCGGGGGCGGGGGCGCGGGGCGGGGGCGCGCGGCCGCGGCCCGGCCCCTGCCCGGAGGTCGCGGCGCTCTTTTCCGGATTGTCAGTTTCTTCTTTTTTTGGACTGGGCGGGCTCGCGTGCCTTTCCCTTCAGCGGGCGGCGCCGAGGCAGCTCCCGAGGGAGCCCCCGTCCCCGCGGCCCGTCGCGGACACGCCGGGCAGGGGGCGCGCGGGCCGCGGCGGGAGCGAGGCCGGCCCCCGCCCTGGGCGGGCCGTGGGGGCCCGCACCGCAGGGGCGGCCACACCCCTTCCTCTCCCCAGAAGTCCCACCCTGAGGGCAGCCCCGGACGCCGCCGAGGAGCCCAGAGGTGCCCAGAGCGAGACCCCGACGTGGCCAGGAGCAAGGGTGGGGGCAGCGGGGAGGAGAGGGGAGGGGTGAGCGGGGAAAGCGGGTGCCTTTGGGCGCTGTGCTGGGTGTTGCTCCGCTGGGCGCTGTGCCCTCCCGGCCCGGGCGACGCACTACAGAACTGCCCGGTGGCCGCGTTCAGGATGACCCGGGTTCCGCGGGCCCTCGCCCGAGGGAAGTGGACATCGGGAGAGGCCGCGGCCTCAGCGCCATAGCCGGAGGTAGGGGCAGCCTCCTGGCTCTGGGCTGGCCTGCGCTGCCCATGCTGCTTTGCAGGATACTCTGGACAGTGGCCCCACGGCCCGTGGCAGGGAGTGGGTGGGGAGTGGGTGACCTGGGCGGTTCAGGCACCAGCAGGCTGGAAGGTGTCAGGGCACCCGAGGACCAGGCCTCCTGGAAGCTCTGTGAAGCCCCCCCAAGCCGCGAGGCCTGTCCGCGGCCAAGGGCCTTCTGGGACCCCCAGCCCGGCATCGGCGGCGTCGCGGGAGGGAGGGAGGGAGCCGGAAACCAGGAAGAGGAACCAGGTTCTGGCTTCCAGCGACCCTGCCCTGGACCCTGGGCGCTGCGTGGCCTTCCGCGCCCTCGGTAGCCTCTGCAGGGCTGGGAGGCGCAGACCCTGCGGCCAGCTCCGCCTCTTCCTTCAGAGGCCCCTGTCTGTGGCGAGGGTCCCGGAACCAGCACCCAAGAGCCCCGGCGTCCAGCCCCACCCACTCATGCCCACCCCACAGGAGGCGGAGAAGCAGGTGTGTGCTGGGAGCGGGAGCGGGCGGCCGCAGGTGTGCGGCCCCGGCTGAGCGTCCCCCTCTCCTCCAGCACCCGGGGCCAGAGGAGGCAGCGCAGCCCCCGCCCATGTCCAGCGATGCCTGCTCTCGCGCGGCCCCCAGCCGCAGCCCCTGCTGCCTGTGCTGGTGCTGCTGCTGCAACTGCTCCTGGTAAGGGGGACGGGCGGGGGGCGGGGCCAGCGCCTGCGCAGCGCGCCCGGACTGCAGCCCCTAGGCTGTCTGCGGGAACCCTGGCTGGGGCCCACCCCAGAGGGGCCTGGGGGGGAGCCGAGCCCCAGACCCGGTGCGCACGCGTGCTGCGTGCCGCGGGCGTGGGGTGCTCCTGGGCCGTGGGCAGCAGTGGGCACTGTGCTGGCAGGAACGAAGAGAGACGGCGGGCGTGGCGGGCCTCCCGGGAGAGCAAGCTGCAACCCCTTCCCAGCTGCGGGGCGTGGTGAGTCTGGCCAGCCTCAGTGCCTGCCCGTGGGGGGTCTAGGCACGGGCCCGGGGCCTGACCTGGCCAGGGCGGTGCCCACGATGCCCACAGTGCCACCCCGAGCCCCGAGGAGGTGCAGAGCTGGGGACAGTCCTTTGACAAGCTGATGCACAGCCCGGCGGGCCGCGGCGTCTTCCGGGAGTTCCTGCGCACGGAGTACAGCGAGGAGAACATGCTCTTCTGGATGGCCTGCGAGGAGCTCAAGGCGGAGGCCAACCAGCACGTGGTGGACGAGAAGGCGCGGCTCATCTACGAGGACTACGTGTCCATCCTGTCCCCCAAGGAGGTATGGCGGCCCCAGGGAGGGGCTGGGGGCGTGCCCGGGCGCTGACAGGCTCCCCTCCCCCAGGTGAGCCTGGACTCGCGCGTGCGGGAGGGCATCAACAGGAAGATGCAGGAGCCCTCGGCGCACACCTTCGACGACGCGCAGATGCAGATCTACACGCTCATGCACCGGGACTCCTACCCCCGCTTCCTCAGCTCCCCCACCTACCGGGCCCTGCTGCTCCGCACGGACCCGCCTGCCTGCAGTGAGGCCTAGCCCACCACAGACGCCCCCTACCTCGGGGCCGGCCGTGCCAGGGCCCCAGGCCTGCTGCCCACGTTCTGCATGGGCACCCAGACGCTCCCCAGGGCCTCTGTGGGGCCCCTAGCAGGAATCTCCAGATGGACCCACACCTCGGCTCCTCCCGGGCAGCCCTGGAGAAGACAGAGAACCCCTACCCAAGCTGGCTGCCCCCGGAGTCAGGCCGCGGGACCCGGCCGGTTTTATTTGTCTCTCAGCCTTAACCCTCAGCACATGTTCCTTGCTGTGTTTCGTCAAAAGAGAAACGTGTTTTCGTATTCCTCCAAGTGTCCTGTGCCCACACGTGGGAGAGGTCAGAGCCAGGTGTCGGCCCAGTGAGGGCAGTGCACTGGCACGGCCCTGCTCCGCATCCACGCCCACCCCGCTGGGGCCTGCTCTCCTCCCTGTCCCAAGTCTCCAACAGCCGATGGCCCAGGGTGGGGCAGAGAGGCCGGGCACAGCCCACCAGAACCAAGGCGGCAGGATGGCAAAAAGGAACCTTTAATACTTGGGGGAAGACAGTGCAGCGGGAGTGGGCCGGGCGGCCTGGGGCAGACAGGCACCGAGCAGGTCTCCAGGGCAGCTGAGCAAAGGACGAGGAGGGTGGCGCCGGCCATGGCCCGGGTGGAGCGCATGCGTACACAGCTCAGCAGAACTGCAGGGACACGAGAGAGGTGTCCATGGGACACAGCTGCCCACGCGCCGTCCCTCCTGCTCAGTGGCCTGCCAGCCCACCTACCTTCCAACGATTGCCACACTCGTTGCAGACGACAAAAGTGGTCATGGGCTCATCAGAGCTGCGGGTCTGCACCTGGGGGAGGCCCGGCCTGGGCTCAGACACCCCCTGGGTGCCACCTCGGATGCAGGGAGTCCCCGGGTGGCAGGGAGCCAGGGAGAGGCCGCAGCCGGCCCTGATTCCACGGGCGCACAGCACTGCCTGCAGACTCACCTGCGTGTAGGTGCAGCTCTTCTTGTGGCACCTGCCGCAGGTGAACAGGTCCGTCTGCGCGCCCCCCGCGCGGGCCATCTGGTGCTCCCGGATCGCCTCCTCCGTCATGGCCTTGCGGATCTCCTTCAGCTCCTCGCTGGCCATTTCCTGGGCGAGGGGCTCGGTGCTCAGCCCCTCCCCACAGGGGCGGCCCCCCACCCCCGGGCTCACCTCTGATGTCATCACGGCGATCTGCTGGGGGGAGATGGTGCCGCACAGCACATTCCTCCGCAGCTCAGGGTTCCTGGCGTCCTTCAGGTTGGAGATGCGGCTCCGCACTCGGTTCTTGTACTTCAGGTCCGTGCTCCCCAGGTCCCGGTAGATGCGTGGTGGCAGTCAAGGAGCGGGGAGGCAGGGCCGACAAGGTCTCCCGTGGGGTCACCCCCCGCCCCACACGCACACAGGCGAGCGTGAGCAGCCCAGGCCTGACAGCGAGCAGGGGGCCCTGGGGGGCTCGCGTCCAAGGATATATTCCTCGATCTGGGCCGAGAGGCGTCCACAGTCTGCGCCCACAGCCACATGGTCATCTGGAAGAGGCACCCAGTTCACTGCCCTGCCCAGCGCCCCCAGACCCATGCCCATGGCCAGGTCCATGCGGCAGGCTGGTGGGGGCCTCCTGCTCACCGTCCGTCTGCAGGGCAGCAGTCAGCATCTCCCGGCACTTGTTACGCACAACATCACAGGTGACCGGCACTGGGGGGAACGTGGTGATCCTGGGGGTGGGCGGCGTCCTGGGCAGCTCGGGCTTTCTGCGGCTGGGGGCACAGAGCATGCACTGGACGGCACTGCCCCCAGGAAGCCCAACCCTCAGGGTCACCAGAGGTGGACGCCTCAGAACACACAACATGCTGCAGGGGGCCTGTCCCTCCCACACCCCTCAAGAGGTGCCTCCCTCAAGAGGGGGCCTGTCTGTCCGGCACCCCTGCCCCCCTCACACTCCTGGGCCCCTTTGGGAGTTGGGACCCTGGGGTTCCTGGAGAAGCTCCGGATGGGCAGCAGCCGGGGCCCCTTGGCCAGGGGACAAGGAGACCGCGCAGCCCCACCTGTCTGCTGGGTTGGGCAGAGCCTGCAGCCTCAGCCTGTGCCAGGAGCCGCCCCAGACAGCATGTGTGCCCGCGGGAGGCCTGGCAGGCGCATCCAGCGGTGCTGGAAACCACTGACTGCCCCCCCATGGGACAACTACCTGGGGTCCGAGGCCTCTGGCGTGTCCCTTGACGTCGCGGACACACTGGTGCCCCGCCTCCTGTCCCTGACCTTGGTGTCAGATGCATCTGCAGGTGCCCAAGGAGAGGATGTGGTGACGGAAAAGGCCCCCAGGGCAGGGCCAGCTGACCACCCCAGGCCCAAGCTCCCATTATGCCTTCCTAGGTCTGAGGGGGACTCCAGACCACCCTGCTGCCCACCGTGCCAAACTCAGCCTAGGGGTGGCGTGGGACCCTTCAGGAGCCCGTTCAGGGGGCGGGGGTGGGGTGGGGGGCCTACAGACCCCTGGTGGTCAGAAGCCACGCAGCTGCACCGCGTCCAGACAGAACCCAGAGGGGCATCTCCGACCCCCACCCACACCTAGGGCCGGGGCTGCCCCTCCCCGCTGCCCAGCCGCACCCAGCAGCTTCTTCCAGGATCTGATGAGCGACTTGGCCAGGGCAATGACGTCCTCGTCCGAGCTCTGTTTCCGCAGGGCATTGACGGACATGCCAACGCGGGTGGACTGCAAGGAACGGCCGGGCAGGGCAGCCGTCAGGGCCCGCTTGCAGGAAGACCTCGGAGTCTGCGGGCCAGTCCTGCTGGAACCCGGCGGGGTGAGGCGGGCCCTCTCCAGACCCCGGGCTGGGAGCGGCAGGGGCCCCAGGCTGCCCCCAGGAGGGGCGCGACCCACCTGCAGCAGGGGCAGCGTCACCGGCATGGCCCTCAGCTCGCGCAGCAGCTCCACGGCGCCGTCCTGGGAGAGGGGCCTTCAGCAGGGGCCGGCCGCTGACCCTCCGCTAGCCGCCCCGCCCCCGGCCGCTGCCCACCACCCCCCGCCTCCGCCGCCGGCCGCTCCCGCCGGCCCCGCTGCCCCCGCCGGCCGCTGCCGCTCCGCTGGCCGCCCCGCCCCCAGCCGCTGCCCCCGCCGGCCGCTGCCCCCGCCGGCCACTGCCCCTCGCCCCCGCCGCTCCCGCGTCCCCGCTGCCCGCCCCGCCCCCGCCCGTCGGACCCCTCACCGCGCTCTTCTTGGTGACCATCTTGTCCAGCCTTCGGGCGATCCGCGCTATCTCCTCCTCTTTGCCCATCCTCGCCTGGGGGGCGGCGCCCCCGCAGCCCCTTGCGCCAGACCCGGCCTCGGCTCCGGCTCCTCCCGCACCCGCCGCACCGACGCAGCCCGGCGGGGCTCGAGACCCTCCGTTCAAACCCCCGGCCCCCGCGGGGCCGCGCCGCATGCTGGGACACGTAGTTCCCGCCCCGCCCGGCGCCCGCGTGCCGGCGCCCTCGAGGACTACGACTCCCAGGGGCCCCCGGGCGCGCGCACGGCCCGCCGGGAAACGTAGTCCCGACGGGGCCGCCTCCGGCTGCTGGGGGAGCCAAAAGACTCGCGTTCCCACAGGCCCCCGCGTGCCAGCGCGGTCCGCCCCCGCCCCCCCGCCCCCGGCTTCGGAGCTGCTGGGGGTCCGCTTCCCGCGAGCAGCCACGCCCCTTTGGTAACGACCCCACTCCTAGGGCCCCCTCCGCTGGTCCGGGCAGTCAAACCACGCGCGGGCGAGGCTCTGCGGGCCCCCGCGCCGACGCCCTGCGTGCCCGAGACCCGGCGTGGGGGCAGCGCAGAGCACTAGCCAGCTGCGGGGCCCGGGAGGACTCGCCCACGGACTGCTGACCCCTGGGCTCACGCTTCGGACCAGACGTGGCCGCCTGCGCCTGTGCTCCGGGCTGGGCGTTGGCGTGACGTCACGCGGGAGCACTGTGCTGCGGCTGTCCGAGTCCACTGCGGCGGCGGCCACGCGGGCCTGGGGGGCCAGCGTGGCTTCCGGCCACCGCTGCCTTCCTCCTGGGGCCGTGCTGCGTGGCTGCCTGGAGGAGGGCAGAGGCCGGGCCGGGGGTCGGTCGTCACCAGAGTTCAGTGTGAGTAATTATGGGCGCAGAGGGGCAGAGGTCCAAACACCTGGGCTGGCCTTGAGCTCTCGGTGGTCCGTTAGGTAGGACGGAGCTGCCCGGCAGAGAGAGGGAGCGTGGAAGCTGGTCTCCCGGGGACCGCACTCGGCAACACTCAGGGCCCGTCCGGGCGCTGCCAGTCCTGGTGCTGCTGGGAACCCAGGTGGGCCGCGTGTGAGCCCAGTGCCATTTCACAGCTGGGTCAAGCACCCCAACTGGTCAGTTTGACAGCTCTTTGTCATTGGTGAAGAAAAGGTGCCACTTCCTCCTAAAAAGCAAAAGTGCTTCCTGGCAGATGCCCTGGGGCCATTCAGACCCAGGGTGATTGGTCCCTCACTGTGACCTGGGGCCTTGCCTTTGAGCTGAGCCCAGCCTCATGCCCAGGTCCTCAGAATCAGAGGACATGGACAGCCTCTAAGGGTCTGCCCGCACCAGGAGAGGCTATCCCCTTCCCACGGACAAGCCGAGTCTGACTAGGAAGCTGACGGGCTGACCTGCAGCCAGAACCGGCAGGGACCGCAGCACCCCACAGCTGTAGCTTGGCGGGAGCACCCTCCAGCTGGAGGTGAGAGTGGGTCTGAGGAGGCCCGGCACCGAGCTCAGCCTCTACACCCACAGACAGGGCTGAAGAGCTCATGCCTTGCCTCTGCGCGGTAGCTGTGCGTCCAGGAGCTTCCAGACCGCTCACAGCCCCATGTTGGGTCACAACAGGGTGCTCGGAAGCATCACCAGGGCTACCCAGGACTGCTGCCGAGGCGCCCACAGGACAGGGGGGAGCCCTGCTTAGCACCTGCCCTGGGCACCAGAGCAGGTCCTGCAGGCACTCTGGACCAAAGCAGGGCCTGTCTATCCTTGCCTCCTCTCTCCTGCTAGGGGGAAAGGCAGCAGATACCCTGGAAGCTAGCCTGCAGCTCGCCTTGGACCATGTGCAGGTAGACGCCCAAGTGAGAGGTCACTGGCATCTCACCATGGGGCGTGTGTCAGGGACCCTTTGAGGTGTTGACACGGTTGCCCCAAAGATACCCTAGCTCACTGGCTCCAAGCCTGAACTTAGGAAGTGACTAAGAATGAAGACCAACGGGCTGGAGAGATAGCACAGCGGGTAGGGCGTTTGTCTTGCACGCGGCCGACCCAGGTTCGATTCCCAGCATCCCATATGGTCCCCTGAGCACCGCCGGGAGTAACTCCTGAGTGCAGAGCCAGGAGTAAGCCCTGTGCATCGCCGGGTGTGACCCAAAAAGCAAAAATAAATAAATAAAAAGTCTTTAAAAAAAAAGAATGAAGACCAAGGGACAGAGAAATAGTACAGCAGATAGGGCATCTACCTTGCACATGGCTGACCCAGGTTCCATCCCAGCATCCCATATGGTCCCCTGAGCACCTCCAGGAGTAAGCCCTGAGCACCACAGCTGTGTCCCAAAAAAACACAACAACAGAAGAATGATGACAAGGGCCAGGGAGAGTACACGGTGAGTGCAGTACTTGCCTTGCATGTGGTCAACCCAGGTTCGATTCCTGTACTACAATAGGGTACCCTGAGCACCACCAGGAATAAGTCCCTGAGCACTGGTGGATGTGCCCAACCCCCGCCAAAAAAACAAAACAGAAGACTAAAGGCTGCAGGCAGGGTGTTTGTCTTGCACGCGGCTGACCCGGGTTTGATCCCCATATGGTCCCCGGAGCACCGCCAGGAATAATTCCTGAGTACAGAGCCAGGAGTAACCCCTAAGCATTCCCGAGTGTGACTCAAAGAAGCCAAAGAAATAAGTCAAGAAAGGCTGGAAGACAGTACCAGGGTGAGGGCACATGCAAAGTGTGAATTTCAAAGAAAAACGCGGAAGTGAGGGACTCGAGTGTTCAGTGGCGAGAACCGTTCCCCTGGCCGGCCCACGGCGACGGAGGGACGAAGACCCGGGGAAGGGAAAAACAGTCCCTGGCTGGTCGCAGTCGGTTTATTTCTCTCTCCCCAGCGTAGTCGGATCTCTCCCCTCGCGGCACAATCACAGTCGTCATAGAATCACAGCCGTCATAGCTCCATCATCCTGATCCCCATCTAGTCCTCTTAGAGCATAGCTATGTAGAAGTCATGAAGGGTGAGGGTACACCTAGGTGGGGTTGAACATTGTCCTAAGGACAAACGTGGGCACAGTAGGGACAGGAGGAGCAGTCCCGGCGGGCTCCCCGCTGCCCACCATGAGCTTGGCCTCCGGGGGGCAGCAGTGAGCTGTGAACGCCTGTCCCTGCTCTGCAGGCCTCCCCTTGGCTCTGCCCCCCACCCCCACCCCCAGGACAGCTTGGGTCCAGGGCAGGAAAGGCCTGAGAGGGCGCCTCACCCCGGAGAAAGGTCTTTATCTCGGGCACGCCGGGCTGAGAAACACTCAACCAATCAGAGATTTGGGCGCACCCCGCAGAGGGTTTGTGAGTTGGTGCTAGGGGCTCCGCAAGCCTCACCACTTGGGACCCCCAGGACACTTCCCCTCAGGCACCCCCCGGGGCCCTCAGAAAGCTGCACTGCTGGGCGTGGCCCCAGAGACAAAGGAAGCCCGAGACTTCCAGCTGAGCCTCACCCTGAGCCTCAGAGACCCCCCCAGGGGCTGGCCCCATGCTGGAGAGCGCTATGGCCTTGGATGTGGGGAGCCCAGCTCGGTCCTGGGCCTCTGGGAATCCCACAGCACCCCAGGGTGCTCCCTGCCGGCCACAGCACCTTTGGCCCAGAGGCTGCCCCTCCCCTCCACAGCCCAGGGAAGTGTCGGAAGCTCATTTATTGTCTCTTTGTGTCAACCCCACAGGTCAGAACTGGCCCTGACCCCCCACCGCAGTAAGTTTCCTTCTGTGGGGTAGGGGCCTCGGTGGGAAGCACGGGACCGCCCTGCTCGCACAGGCAGACCCTCGTCCCATGCCAACAGGGAAATGTGTGTGCCCACTCCAGCCGACCTGCACACCCGTGCCAGGGAGGGGCTGGCCCCCAGGGGCAGGCGGTGCTGGTGTCCAAGTCTCTGGGCCAGGAGAGCCTCCTCCCAGGGTGACCCGCGTGGGAAAGCCCCAGCCCGGCCCCCAGCCCCTCCCTGAGAGCTGTCCCCTGAGGCTCGCAGGGCGGGCAGGCGCTGGCTCCCTGGAACAATGTGCTTCCCCCACACAATTCCCAGAAACGCCGCCTCTCTGCCCAGCCAGCCCGACAGCCTGGCGGCCACGCCACCCCCTCCCCAGGGCCCCCGGCAGCAGTGGGTCAGGGGCTGTGGGTCCTACCCCTGGAGGGAAACCAAGACAAGCCCTGGGACTGAGGGGTCTGTCCTCATCGCCCCACGCTCCTCTGCCTCCATCACTGATGGGGCCTCTCCTGAGTGCTCGGTGCCGCTCCTGAATGGGCCCCCTGCACCCCGAGGGCCCCCAGAAGCCCCAGCACCGTCCATCCGCACCTGCTCTTCCCAGCAACTGCTGCCGCCTGGAAGTCCGCCGGAGCAGCTAGGATGGGCACGCATGCTTCCTGCTCTGAGCAAGGAGGTCCCCAGAATATGGCCTGCCCCCAGATACTCCGAGCCACAATCAGCTGGGTGCCAAAGCAGGCGGCAAGGGGGTGGCAAGGGTCCAGGGGCCTGCCTCCCGAGGGCAGCTCAGCGCAGCCACGGGGAGGGAGGGAGCCCACTCACAGTCCCCACCTGGCCCCCCAGGACCTCCGGGGAGCCGGCACCTGCAGGCCCCAAGAGGGGAAGGGGTCGGTGCCCAGGGCGGGGCCCAGCCGGACGGCGGGACAGACACGGAGTCTGGCGCCTGAAGGCCGCCCGGCTCTCACAGCTGCGCCTTCCTTCCTGAGCCACTTCCTGGACCCTCCCTGCTGTTGCCGGGGCAACTGGAGCAGCTGGGGGGCAGCCCTGTTCCCACAGAGCCCCCGCTGAGCAGAAGCAAGCAGCAGCATCCCGGCCAGTCACCCTGCAGCGCCCTGTCCCCCCTTTCCCTGCGGACCCCAGCCTAGGCCATCTCCTGGAGAAGCCAGCCTGAGCCCCCAGTGCGGCTTATCCCACTGCCCGCTCTGAGGCCTCACTAGGACCCCGACTCCGTGGCAAGTCTCACGCCCACCCCAGCAGGGCCAGGGAGCTCTGCAGTGTCCTGAGCCCAGGCGCACCCCTCCAGCGGGGCCACAGGCGGGGCCTGTGGGTGGTGGCCAGGCTCCGGCCCTCCACCTGGACCCACGTCCAGCAGGCCCTGCACCCGGGCAGGATGGGCCGCCCCAGGGACTCGGTAATTGGTCCCAGGCTTGGCTCCAGCAGCCGGGAGGGGCGGCAGGAGCCTGTGAGGTCTGAGCCAGCCGGGGGCAGTGCC